GGGAAAACAAATTGAAATAGGGAAGATTATGGATGACTATAGAGACCCTTTCCTTTAATCATTTAAAATATTTCAGAAGTTCATGATACTAGTTTTTATTTTACTAAGGATGAATTAACACGGGCACCTGTCTCTCCCTAACATGATGTATGAGTAAGGTTATTGTAATTACTATGTTTGTATGATTTGATGTGAGAATGTTTTTCTTTTGCCAGGTATTCCTGATGAAAAAGTATGGACATAGTTTTCAAAAGAGTTTTTAATCTCTGGAAGAAGTAGACAGATAATGAAGACAGTAGACAATGATGACAGACTAAGGTGGGAGAATAGTGCTGAGTTTGGGTTGAGTAAGAAACTAGACAAGCTGGTGGTTTAAATGGAAATTCTGTTGTGTTGATATGTTTACTGTTTTGGAAGCTCATTCATGGTTGACATTAACAGGGAGCTTGAGCTGGAGATAGGACTGCCAAAGAGATTATTCAGAATATGAAGTTACCCCTTGACTCCCCAGCTTCTTAAAGGCTAGTTTCTCTGAGAAAAATATTAGAACTACAAGGTACTTTGGCTCTCACACATTTTATCCATCATGTGACTATCTTTTCAGAGAAGAGACAATGTGAACAGTTGTATGTTCAAATCATTACAAAACACACATACACACACACAATAATGAAGCGAGAGCCATGTAGCCAAGGGCAGCTTAAGAAACAGTGGCTTTAGTTTACTATAAATTGAAATGACATGGTATGACTTTACAGATGAATGCAATTTATTGTTATATTATCAGATGGTCGAAATGCAGAATGAAGATCATTCCTTTGCTCTGCTCTTCTCTTGCCAGATTATACCAACAATGGAAGGTGTCATTTTATAAAGTACTGAATTTTGCTGTACTGCAATGTTCCAACTAAAGGAGCATGGTAAAATGGGATTCCAGACATGGTTGATAGGGATTGGGAGCAAATCTTAAGCCATCTAACTCTGAATTATATTATTGCATAACCAGTGCACACCATTGTTCAGTATACAGTGAAACAAGAGACACAAACTATGAGACAGATAAACCAGACACAAGTGACTGAATTCTTCCTCCAGGGACTCTCTGATGACCCATACACCCAGAAGCTTCTCTTTGTTTTTTTTCTGTGTGTCTACCTGGTCACAGTGCTTGGAAATCTGCTTCTCATGTCTCTTGTTCAGATTGACTCCCGACTTCACACACCCATGTATTTTTTTCTCTGCAACTTGTCTCTGGCTGACCTCTGTTTCTCGACCAACATCGTTCCTCAGACCCTCATTCACCTGCTATCCAAGAAGAAGGCCATATCGTTCATAAGTTGTGCAGCTCAGCTTCTACTTTTCCTCAGTTTTGGGGGTGCAGAGTGTACCCTTTTGGCAGTGATGTCCTATGATCGATATGTGGCCATCTGCAATCCTTTGCATTACTCTAATGTTATGACCAAGAGGTTGTGTGTTCGCTTGGCCACAGGATCATGGACCACTGGCATTATGGCATCTCTTGTGGACTTCATCTTCACAATAAGGCTACCATACCGAGGCAGCAATAAAATTGCTCATTTCTTTTGTGAGGCTCCTGCACTGTTGGTCCTGGCATCCATAGACACCCACGCTACACAGATGGCCATTTTCCTTGTGGGGATAGTAATCCTTGTCATACCTCTCTCTCTAATATTGGTATCCTATGGCTGCATTATACTAACTGTGATCAGGATGAAGTCAGCTGGTGGGAGGCTCAAAGCATTCTCTACCTGTGGCTCCCACCTCATGGTGGTCATCCTTTTTTATGGGCCAGCAATTATCACCTACATGACACCGAAGTCCTCCAAAGAACAGGGAAAATTAGTGTCTGTGTTCTATGCAGTGGTGACCCCCATGCTTAACCCTCTCATCTACAGCCTGAGGAACAAGGATGTGAAGGGAGCTCTTAGAAAAGTAGCCACAAGGAATTTCCCTTGTAGGCTTGGGATCTACCACTGATACTGAGCTCAGTGATCCTGCTGCTCCTACTTGTAAGACTTGATGAGTAATTGCCTTCCTTGTGAATCTGTAATATGAAGATTTTCATCTTTGGCCCTTGTCCCTGGGTCCAGCTTCATTCTTCATCCAGAATTTCTTTGTAGAAGGACAGTAACTCATGGAGCAATGAGAAAGTATGTTTGCCTCCTTCCGGTTGCTCCATTGGCATCTAAGGCTTAGGAAATCTCTTTCCTGTTACATTTGTTGTTTTGGAGATTCTTTTTTTATTGGATTTCTGCACTTTCCCTTTGACCAGGACTAGTGTTAAAAATGTCTCTGAGTAGACAGTTAATGCCCTTGGCTTCAAACTGAGAAGTTGGAGGTTCTAGTCCACCCATAGTTGACTCAGAAGAAAGACTTGCCTTATGTACTTCTGAAAAATCAGCCATTGAAAACCCAATGGAGTGCAGTTCTACTATGACCCACTTGGGGTTGCTATGAATTGGAATCCGTTTGTCTGCAACTGATTTTTATTGTTAAAGGAAGTATTATAATATACCCCAGTGGGTTTCTCTTGGTTCTAAGCTTGGTCCTCCTTACCCCCAGTTGTATGAGTGTCATGGATTAAATTGTATTCCCCCAAATTATTATTCAACTTGGCTGGTCCTTGATTTTCAGTGATTTGGAAATTGTGTAAATGATGTAATAATACACCATGGTGTAATCTGATGTGATCACCCAATCAGTGTAAGAGGATTCGGTTGGATGCAACACCCTTAAATAGGTCACAACCCTGATTGGATATAAGGGGAGTTTCTCTGGCATGTAGCCTACATCACATTTTATCTTACAAGAGATGAAAGGAGAGAGAAGCAAACAGAGGGATACTGATCACCATGAAAGAAGAGCCAGGAGAAGAGCACATCCTTTGGATCCTGGGTCCCTGTGCTGATGCCCTCTTAGACACAGGGGAAGATTGATGCCAAGACACATGGAGATCTGGGCCCACAAATGTTAAAGATAATGGCAAGCACCTCCCAGCTGGCAGAGAGAGAAAGCCTTCCTCTGCAGCTGGTGGCAGTCTTCTAGCCTGCTAAAGTATGAGAGAATAAATTTCCATTTCTTAAAGCCATCCACTTGTGGTATTTCTGTTATAGCAGCACTTGATATCTAAGGAAATGAGTACCTACTTTACCCTTGAAAATTAATCTTTTCAGGCAATAAAGTGACTCTCATTGTCTGCCTTCTGGTTCAGTAATACCAGTGAGCAGTCTGAACCTTTAATTCATGAGGATCATGAGTGGCTCAAGACCACCATGAAGGCATTCCTTCTTTGGGCACCATGTTGTTGCTAGTTGCTGTCAAGTCAGTTCCTACATATGGACCCTTTGTACAACATAATCCTTGCTATATTTGAGCCCATCATTGCAGCCACTGTGTTAATCCAATTTTGATGACCCTCCACTTTACCAAGCATGATATCCTTCTCCAGGGACTGGTCCCTTCTGACCACATGACCAAAGTAAGTGAGATGAAGTCTGGCCATTCTGCTTCTAAGGAGCATTCTAGCTACACTTATTCCAGGACAGATTTGTTAGTTCTTCTGGCAGTCCATGGTATTTTCAGTATTCTTGGACAATACCACAATTCAAAGGCATCAGCTCTTCTTTGGTCTTCCTGATTCATTGTCCTGCTTTCACATGCATATGAAGTGATTGAAAATACCTTAGCTTTGGTTAGTTAAGGTTAGGGCACACCTTAGTCTTCAAAGTGACATTTTTGCTTCTTAACACTTTAAAGAGGTCTTTTGCAGCAGATTTGCCCAGTGCAAAGCAACATTTAATTTCTTGACTGCTGCTTCCATGGATGTTGATTATGGATCCAAGTAAACTAAAATCCCTGACAACTTCAATCTTCTCCATTTATTGTGATCTTGCTCATTGGTCCA